TCCCATAACTTCACAGTTTAGTGATTTTGTTCACAAATTATTCAGTTCCTTTTAATTAATTCAGTGATTCACACAATCTCTATTCACATACCATTTTATTTTTTTACATAAACATAAACCTATTATAATTGTTATGCAAAACTGCCAAAGTATGACTATGATTTAAAGATGCATTATAATCTGGCAACCTAATGCAAATATTTACTAATTTCACGTGAATTATCTGTTAGTGCCTTTTCCACTTCTATATAAATGTTTACCACATGTTTAGCCTGTGTTTGATTTTTTTTTAAGATTGTTTATTGTAGCAGATAATGGCTGAATTGGTCCCAAAGTCTCTGGTGGAATTAAACAGCATCCTCTATGCTGCAGAAGAATAACCCAAAGCGCTCAGAGCAATCCCAATAACAGCAAAAGGACCGGCCTTTGGCAGGAACATACTGTAACTGTCTATCTAACAATGTGTGTGCACGTGTGTGTGTGTGCACGTGTGTGCGGGAGTAGTTTGACAGGGTGTCTGAGCTTGTGTTGAGGATAGCGGTTGAGTTTGATCCCCTCCGCAAATATGAACAACCGTTCTGCTCTACAGTGAATGGAGGCAGCTGAATCAAGTCCAGTCAACCTCATTTCCTTTTCTCTCTAACGGATAAATACAATTAATGGTTTATGTAAAGCACACCAAGAAGGTCGCATCCAGTCACACACTAGACTTTGAAGAACACAGTGTATGATGCAGAATTACACGGAAACTTGTATTTTTAAATTTTAATGATATACAATCTATGCTTTTATCACATTTCCTGAAGCACAGTGTGCTACTGGTTGTATCTCACTATAACATAAATAATGGCTAAAACCTCTCAAGGGTATTGTATGCAGCCCGATTCATAGAGAAGGATGTAGTTACCACGCAGAGTCCCTGAGGGGGATAAGGTATGGAATGGAGGGGGGTAAGCCTGCGACTCCGAGTACACTGTTGATATTCTGGAGACGTTGTGATCATTGCAGCAGAATATCTCACCTGTTAACCACCGTACGCAAAGGTTTACTATTAGGATATTCCTACTGAAGGAACTCAAACATGTAGTTCTTTTACCGTTACATCTGATCTAATTCAAACTCCAAACCCACTCTAACCTCACCCAAATAATCTACCAAATTCAACCGAATAATGATCATTGATGGGATTGATATGGCTAATTGTTTTTGACTCATGTGAGTGTCTTTGTTAAAATGTTTTGCTTAATGCTGCATTGGAACTCTATACACTATTGGCTTATACTCACGCAAAGACTTTATGTATTTGTTATCATGCTTTCTTTCTGTTTTTAATATGTAAAAATTACAAATGTTTACTCTTTATAACCTGCCACAGAACCAAATCTAAAAGAGCTTAGTTTTACACTTGAACACACATTATTTTGAAGCATATATATATATATATATTTACTGGTACTCCAATAACAAAAATTGTAAATAGATTTTTTTACATTTTCATTAATTTATTCAATTTATGAATTCATGATTTGCTGTGTGGGCAGTGCTGTGAATAGCTGTCTATAGTTTTACTATTATTATTTTTAATGTGTTTTACTGATTGTTTTGGGACTATTTACTGTTTTTTTTGCAGACACACTTGTGGAAGAACACAGCCCTATGATACTATTTAAATGCAAAAAGAACTATTGCTCTATCGTATGTGCTGTTTTACTGGGATTTAGATCATTGTGAATTTCACGACAGGTACTAGACACCCTGAAAAAGGAGAAACTACCATGCATGTAGATCTTAGTCCACACTATACGGCAAAATCTTTTTAATCAAAAGAAAACCAAGAAACAATTGATGAGTCCTTTAAAAGCACCTTGAAAGAATGTAAACAAATAATCTGTAGGATGTGCTCACAGTCAAAATCGAAAATGTAAAAAACATGTAAATTAATATGTGATGAAATGTGTGATAGTTTCCTTTTAGATACCCTAAACCAGTGTCATAAGTGCCATCTAGTGGTGAAAAGAAGGGATGACCCTTGGAAGTACAAGACCTGTGATATTGCATGTGTTTTACAAAGTTCTGGCACAAGAAAAGGCAAAACGGCACAAAAAGTGCTTGGAACAGTGTAAAAGGTTTTGGAGAGGTTCGCCTATTTTTTCATACCTTGCTTTTTTGAGGGATTTGGGCACTTTTATTTTGGCACATTTTTGTTGTAAAACATACAAACAAAATTTCTGAAATTTTTGCTGTTAAAAATGACAAAATTTGACACAATTTCAGTTTTTTTCTGTGATTAATGTGTAATGCAATGAAAACTAAATTTGTGAGGAAAAAAAGCAGGGGTTGTACTAAAAAAGGCAAAAGGTAATTTATTAGAGCAAACTGTGAAGTAGTGAAGAACGCTTCTAAGGCTTCTTAACTCAACTTTATGGAAATTAGTATCAAAGCATGATGCAACAACTAAATGAGAATGCGGGCAGAAACATCCCTTAAGACGCACTAGCTCCAAAGCGTTCTATTCACTGAAAAAGACTAAAAAAAACAATAAAATTAGCTTTGCAATAATAAAAGATGCTTCTGTGTACATGCCTTTTTCCTTAAGCCACCAAAGCTGCCCTGCCAGCAAAGTGCCCTTCTGCGATTGTTAGGTTTGTTGTATTTTTGGCAGCATTTTCAGCGGTTGTGAAGTAATCTGTGTTGACACCGCAGTGATTTAAAGCTTATTTGCAGAAGATTTCAACAGAATTCCTGGCACTGGAAAACATCCATAATTCAGTGAACTCTTCCCACTTGGCCTCGTGGGATGCAAAATCTGGCTAGTAGCCTTGTGGAGAGAGAGAGAGAGAGAGAGAGAGAGAGAGAGAGAAACAGGGAGAGGAGGGGATGAGAAAGAGAGAGTTTACTTTGCTGCAGCTGATTCTAGCTGATAGTGTGGAGTGGAGAGTTCAAATATGGCTGTGAAATGTGCTTTGGAACTGTGCCTCATTAACATCAAAGGTTAATTCCCTTAAAACAACATGCGCACCCTGTGTTGTTTTCAGGGAAATGCAAATTCACACTTGCACTGTTTCTGTGAAGCCATGAAATCTGCTAACCAGGTACTACAATAATAATCTGATCTCTACTAAACCGATAATGCATCCAGCGCAAGATAAAACCGATAATGCATCCAGCACATTCCACTGAATGATTCATGGCATCGTTTTCATCTGCGATCTGCTTGTTGTGCACAGGGCTCCCTTTCATGTCTTCACTTCTTGGATTTCCATTGGTCCTCCCATCCTTTCCAAATCAGAACCTCCAATCAAAAGCTCCCAGTAACCACTAGGAAACCTTCCAAATCCCGTCCTCTGAACTTTCTGAAGTTGCGATTTATTTAGGAGTTACATAAGGTTATATAAAGTGATGAATAATGAATGATGCATAACACCATCACACTGTCATTAAAAACTTCATATTTTATTGAGGACGAGGAGAGAAGCGCTGCAGATACAATTCATGTACCTCTCTAATTATCCTTGCAAATGACTTCAGGGACGAGGCCTAAATAAGAGACAGCAGAATCACACAGCTGCCACTGTCACTTTCCCTTTCATGAGCGTTAGCCAAGGTCAGTCCCGCTCACACGTCTGATAGTCGGCACGTTTCGTACTGAGATTTCCGAGGAGCCTTTTATAATTGATCCAAGTGCAATTTCAACCCTGTGAGAAAGAAAGTGTCGCGTATCAACTGCTTATTGGTGACTCTGGAATCCTCCAAGCTGAAATCAAAGAGCTCGTGCTTAGACACGGGCCATTTTTCTCTGCACTCATGAGCGCGTAATTGCATCACCGGCTAAAGAGCTTTCCCCGAGAATGAAGCTCTTCAAAACTAATTTGAATATCTCTGCTATGACATGTACCTCATTGTATCGATTTGGCCATCTGACCCGTTGTCCTCCTCCGCCCTCAAGAGTCTAGACAAAGTGGAACCCCGCCATATTATGACAGAGCGAACGTGTTGCTTTGGAACGTGTGGGCTGCAAACGATGAGCCATCATTTTAATGTGACATCTGTGCATCCATTCCACGTCAGGGATGAGCAGGCACAAATTCCCAGGTAGACAAACGCTTCCGCCCTGGCTCCGTTTCAATGACAGACACGATATCTGAGAGGATAATGGCGAGTGTCAGACTGGGAAATAGACTGGAATAATTGATACGGTGAGGGTGTTATTCCAGCAGTCGGAGTTAAGAGGCGATTGGCAGAGAGCCTGAGAGAGGAGAAGAATCTCTGAATGCTCTGAAGCGAACTCTGGAGTTGAGACCAGTGATGATGTGAACAATAACCTTCCCTCCTGTGAGGAAATAAAAAAGACGACTCATAATGGAAGGCGCTTAACTCTACACCCGTTCAGGACAGCTGAGGAAATCATTAAGCTTTTATAGAGCTATTATGGGACAAGCTTGTGCACTTATTTTTGCACCCCTGTACAAATTTCCTTTCACAATGAGTGGATGCTGAATCTTTTGGCTGTCATTACAGATCTAAAGTACTGTACATTTCTACAGTAGTTAGAAATCGTTTTTTCAGGTTATCTCCAGACTAACTTCATTTCACTCCAAATCTTCAAATGGTTATTTGTGCATTATTTGGGTCATCTCGACCTCACTGTGTAATGCTTTTTATGGACTGGCAAATTCTGCGATAACCAGAGAGCTATTCCACCCAATGGATACCATTTCAGTCCCTGGGACTTTATATGCATAAAAAAGAATAAAAAAAGCGTCATTATTACATTTTATTAAAGTGTAACACATAGTATTCTTCATGAAAAATAGCATTTAATGCATGTCCTCACTCTCTGATGCGGAATTTTTTTTATTAAGATCTTTTGAAAAGAACCTTTCTTTTGCATTGATATGGAAATCTATATATAATGTTTATTTTATATACATTTATGCATTTGCAGATGCTTTTATCCAAAGTGACTTACATTTGAGTAAATGTTGACATTTTTTGTCAATTACTTTCCCTGGGATTTGAACCCACATGCTTTGCATTTGTTAGCACAATGCTCTACCAACTGAGCCTCAGTAAAGTATTTATTAATACATTTATTTCTAAAAATATCTATACTTTATTACATTAAAAAACATTTTAGTCATGTCCCCAGCTTTTTATTCATTCCTGTTACCCTAACCCATCCCACTAATGAAAAACTTGGATCTTGGGAGGAGCAAAGGTAAATTCTGATGTACATATTTGATGAATTAGTGATGAGATCTTGGAGCGTCATTTTAAAAAATTATGTCAGATTTAATTATTTTGGTGTAAAACTGCACATATTTGGTAAATAAATATTGAGGGCTAGTAACAAGAAAAAACAGCACCCATCTTTAAATTATAAATATAATAAAATGTTTAATCAAGCAAATTTTACTTGGCAAAAATTCTTAAAGCAAAAATGTCTGGCTGACAACAAAATGCTGACAACAAATCTCAAAACGATTGTTTTCAAGCTATTTAGAACGTAAACCGGATTGAAACTAGAGTATATGAACTGTATAGTCACGAATGCTCTTAAAACAAGGCAGATTGTCCTAAAACTAGGTTGTTTTGTCTTTTAATTAGTAGTAAACATGAAGATTTATAGGAAATTGTGCATTAAAAAAATGGCCATGGTTAATTTTGGCAATATAAAATAGAGAATGGGGTCTTAAAACTGGAAATTCTGGCTTTAAATGATTTTTTCTATGATTTATTTCTGTTTTTGGTCATCTTTGGATTTGTTTTAGATAAGACCGTATACAGACTGGAAGCTAATCTGCTGTGATTGATCCACTTGCTCAGGATTTGAACTTGATTTGTTTTGCAAACCATAACTTGCGTTTGTGTCAAGCCTCATATTCACCACAACACCTCTTAACCAAAAGTGTCTTTTTTTTTACTTATTAATTCACTTATTCATTTTCCTGCTCACTTATTCCATTTCAGGGTCACCGGGGTCTGCTGGTGCAGCCTCTCCAGATGGGTCGCCAGCCCATCGTAGGGCAACATTCACTCACATATTAACAGCTAAGGGGAATTTAGATTATTCAATTAACCTAACCGCATGTTTTTGGGATTGTGGTGGAAATTAAAAACAGTATTAAATGTTTTAAATAATTAAAAGTATTAAAACATTAAATCTAGTCTTGAAAATAGTTTTAAAACTAGAAAATCTACTTCAAATTTGACAGATTCGTTAAACAAATATCAAGAAATTCAGCTTTGAAACAAGAGTGTCTGTACTCAGTAATTAACACACTTAGCGTCTTAAAGCAAACAGAAAAACTCCCTTTTTAAGATTCTTTTCACAAGCTCTTTTGTATTTTTAAAGAATTCTTACCCCATTGTTGGCTTTTTTTGCGTAATACATTTTTAATGATATTTAATATTTAATTATGTGTGTGTTCTGAGAGAGGTGATTTGTAATTACGTAATATTGATTTCTTAAAATAAGATGTCTGTGATATTCCTGAACAGAATTTCTTGTTTTAAGGTCAGTGGCAAAATCAGAAGCTTGTTTTACAAAGTTTCTTAATGAAAAATAAATGAGAAAAAGCATTTTTCTTTTTCTCCTCAAGAAAAATAAATTAATATTTATAGAAAAAAGCTTTTTAAAAGCTTTATATTGCACGATCGGTGGGGATTTCTGCAACTGCTCCAAGGTTATGGTGCTCTCTACTTCTGGAGGTACGCCAGGCGTCCACTGCTGACATTTTAAAAACACATTTAAAGACTCCTTTTTTAATGTGAGAAGGTACAGGAACTGCTAGTTCACCATGTGTAGACTGTTGTCATTAAAACGTTAAAAGGTGAACATTTTCACAGAACCACATTCTGGGTTCAGTGTTTTATGGCTGGCCTTGCTGCTATTCCATTACTTTTAGAATCAAATTACAAAGAAAACATAAATATTCCACTGTTCCACCACTGAATTGAGCCCAGACTTGCATAGAAAACTCCTACATGTGGTACAGTGTGTGGATTTAAGGGAAGAGAATTGATGTTTTAATCCATAAATCTACTATTGTGAGTTATTTAATAATGTTCCCTTAAAAGGAACAGTGTAATCCTTAATTCAAAGTTGGATTTTTTATGTAATGACGAATTTTTGTGAATCAAGCTTTAAAGGGCTTGTTAATCCAAGATTAAATGTATCTGTTAATGATGTCTCACACCATTCAAATGTTATTATTATTATTTCTTTAGTAGAGTATTAAATATTTTAGCTGATCCTTGGTTAGTGAAACATGCGGTATTTGGTTTTTGCAAAATACACTTGGCTTTGGTCACATTTCTTCCAAGAAAATCATGTATTTGGTGTATGTTATGTAAACTAATAAAACAGGTTCAACAGATTGTGTCAAGTCCAATTTTTAAAATCAGTTTATTTAAATGTTTCTATCCATTTTAAACAAGGCAGAAATTTTCCACCCACAAACTAAAGCTGATTTCTTAAAGCAGGCATGTCAAAATCAGTTCTGTTCTGATCTTTTGTTGGACAGACAAATCCAAGTTGAATAAACCACTGATTGCTTGACTTTGATCAATTCATTGATACATTTTCTGGTTGATTTTTTATTGTTTTAACATAACAATTGTTTAACAAAATGTTTTTGAACGTGTAAAATGATAATATAATATAATATAATATGTGCAAAATAAAAGTGTGAATGAAAGAGTATTTAAATACAGAAATACTTGGAGCTCTGCAGAAAGAAGGGAAACAAGGGCACATAAAATAGAAATAAACCCAAATGTCAAAAAGCTGACAGTGTCGTGCTGTCCTGTTCCTGCGGTTCTATTACGAGCCCTGACTAATGATCTGTCCTTTATCTCAGCCATCTAAAGTATATCTTCTCTTGCCATTTCCTTTACAAATCCTCTCATTTTCATTTTTCCTCTGGTGCATCTTCCTGAACCAAATGTTCCTTGTGAATTGGGCTGAGAATTTTCATAAGAAAATGCCATTTACAGAAACCACAAGCTCCAATAAAAGAGGTCCCATGCTTTGCAGAAACAAAACATGTAGATACACACAGCAACCCTCTCTCTCTCTCTGAGTGTTTGTTTGTTTATTATGTATTTTTAAACCTGGGATGACAATGTTAAGATCATGATTGCTGTACCAAATAGCACGCCGATGACTTTCTTTCCCTCTGATCAAAATTGAAAGAGCCTGACACTGAGTAAACTCGGCTGGAGTCCTGCTCGGTATGATCTATATTTCATTGTCTCGGTACCATCTGTAATTAATCACTCTTCTCGAAATGAATGCAATCTCTGCGCTCTTCTATTTTTCATCTAATGGGGTCAGCACTCTCATTCAAACCAAGGAAAATGGAAGTAAAAGGCGAAAATACTGTGAGCGGATGTGTCTCTCCACAGATATTTTGATTGGTGAGGGGAAAAGAAGGAAATGGCAAGTGTTCTCAAGATGCCAGGACTGTAATTAGGCTCTCTTTGTAATAATATTATTGCATCCACTACATAAAAACCTTCATTATTGGTATTATTTCATTGAACCATTGATTCAACTTAAAGATGGCTAGCAAAAGTACAATTTCGACTCTCGTTAATGAAGAATGAGAAAGAAAAGGTCGCCCTCACAGTGTGTGTGCTTCTGTCTAGCTGTTCTTCTATCTTGCTCAGCAGAATGTCTTAATTAGCTTGCTATGGAAACTAGCTTTACAATGTTAATTGAATCATTACAGCAGAATAATTTTGATCATGTCACTAACTGATAACTGATTTTTAATTGTTCTTTTTTTCAGTTAAGAGTACAATCCATGCAAACAGCTTAAAATACAGCTCCCTTTTTACAAGGCTGAAAAAGAAATGTAAAATGGCAATTGGAATTTTATATATTTATTTTATACAAATCCAATACCTCAGGACAAGATACATGGAGTTTGCTAAAAACACCTCCAAGATGGTGAGAAATCTGGTATGATGAGATCAAAATAGAACTTTTTTGCCCATCAATGAAACATGGTGGTGGCAGCATTATGCTGTGGGGACAGGACGATTGAGGCAATTGAGGGAATGCTTCATGTAGCAAAGTATATCCTGATCTAAAACCTTGGACCCCGAAGATTTACCATCCAACAGGACAATGACCCTAAGCACAGCATAAAAATATCTGTGACTGTTCTTGAATGGCAAACCCAATTGAGCATTTCTGGAGACACCTAAAAAGACTGTCCACCAACATTCATCATCCAACCTGACAAAACTGGAGAGGGTCTGCAGAAGGAATCCCCAAAACGTTTGCATTTTTCACAACAAGTCTCATGGCTGCATTAGATCAAAGTGTGCTTCTACTAAATACTGAGCAAATAGTCTAAATACTTTTTTTTTGTTTTTAATAAAAATGTGACAATTTCTGTGTTTTTTTTTCTGTCAATATGAGCTTCTGTGTCTACATTAATGAGGAAAACATGAGTATTTTAGCAAATGGCTGAATACTTTTGGTACCCTTTGTACATTCTGTTCTGTTACAATGTCTTGTAAAATATACTTTTTAAATACTCTATTACTTTAAGTATTCTTGCCCTTTAATGCTGCAGCCTTACTTGAATAGACAAAAGAGGGTTGGTGTCTCATAGCTTTTGCACAACAAATGGATCATGGTTATCCCATAACAATTCCTTCGTGATGTCTCTGAGGTGGTTAAAGCTTCTTGAGAGGGTATGGATTCATGGACTCTACATGTGTTCTATTGGTGATAAGCAACAAGTAAAGGAACAGGCAAGAGAAGTCGAGATGAAAAGATTCAACAATTTACAGCCCATACTTTGCTGTAATCATCCCTATATTTTACTGTTTGAAATGCTGTTTGAAGGCGGTATGCATCTGCGCTTCAGTGTGTCATCAAATACAGACGTCTTGTTGTTTAGAAGCAGCCACCAGCAGTGACAAATTACATTGTCTACCTTTGTGTGGCAAAGAAAACATTATTTCAGGAATCAATAATTATTATTACTCTGTGGGTAGAAAGAAAATATACTACTATGCAAAGGTGGAATGCCTTTAAAATATAAATAATGATAGTT